TCTGTGAATTACAGGGTCATATTAATAATTTTTAAGAAATTGAAAACATATTACTTAATTAGAATGGAGAAGATGTGTAGCCCAGGTGGATGTTCAACAAATTTTCATTTAAAGTAAGAGGCAGAATGAATATAAAGTTGTTAAGACAAGATTAGTGAAAGTTGAGCAAGATAAAATGGAATTGATGTAATGGTGAATACTGACAGATGAGCAGCAGCTATTCAGTACGGCACAATATTTAACGAATAAATTATTATTATTATTTCCTTTAATTCCTAGAGGAACATAGGGCTTCAGCCTCACGTCTCCATTGCGCTGGGTTTTCTGCCAACGTTTTCACCCCGTTCAAAGTCTGCCCACATGCTTTCATCTCCCCTTCACGCGACCTCCTCCAAGTCACCCTCGCACTGACGACCAACTCGCCGCTTCCCTTTCGGCCTGGTTCCACTCGAGCAATGGCTTGTCTAGTGATATCACTCGATGGTTTCCTCAGAGTATGGCTAGCCAATCCATCTCCATTTCTTCCTGCCAATTTGTTTCACAATCGGTTTCTGCTGGGTTGGTTCGCTCATTGCCAGAGATCCCTCTCTGTTGCTGATCTTTTCTGGCCGGCCATCTGATCTTGAGCGAAGACAACTGTTAATGAAGGACTGAAGTTTGTTTCACATGCTCTTTATGACGCAGTGACAAGTCTCTGATTCGTATAGTGAGTAGCACTGACTTCACATTGGAGTTGAAAATCCGGATCTTATCTTCGTTTTCATGCTGAGTGCTGTTGACCTCCACACAGACTTGGTGAGTGTAATGAAAGCTTGTCTTGCTTTTCCGATTCTTGCTTTTATATCCTCGTCACTTCCGTTCGCCTGTAGTTGAAACGATGCTTCCCATGTCAGTAGGTAGAGGAGGTTGTTTCTTTCAGGTTCCTCCCATTTACGCTGGCTGATTGTTGTCTGTTGTTGTTGCTGTTGGTGGTGTTGTCCAGGAATCTTCATCACCTCTGTTTTCTCTATGTTCACCTGAAGTCCTTCCTATCTTAGATGCTTGTTCTGCCAGCTTGTTGCTTTTCACTTGCATATCTTCGAATTTGTGAGAAATCAGACATATACCATCGGCAAAGTCCAGATCCTCAGTGGTAACATCTATGACTGCAACACTGATTGACGCGGCTTCGAATCTCAGAAGGGTATTGAGTTCCTTCAAGGTTGCAGATACACCTTGCTAAAGAGACTGTCAACTAGCACAAAACCTAGGTCAGGCAAGACATCTTGCCTCCAACCATCTAGTGCCATGTAAAAAAGGCTCACAAGTACATTTGGAAACCAACGGAACTAAAGAAAGTAAGATGCATTATTTCAGATGAAATATCAGTTAACTCAGAGATTCAAGCAGTCTGCTGATATCATTTATATACCTTTTTAATTGGTATGCATGTTAAATATATCGATTGAAGTAGTTTGGTTAACAAAAGAAAAAAATCTACATTTTATTCTTATCATATATTAATCAAAATAAACAGAATACTTTTGAACAAAGAAGACAAATCTAAAAGTAGAAGAAGAAAGTAATGGAGACTGATAATGCGTTTAGATCGCCAGTTGTATATTGATGAAAAATTACCATTGGAAATAAAATGTAATCAGCAGTAGTATACGACGAAAGATGGATAGAAATCACACACACATACACACAGGTGGTAGGTAGTACAGAAAACAAAATGGCGTCTAACAAAAGGTAGTCAATAATGCTATGGAGACACTGGAAATAAGAAAAAATGAAATTTGACAAAAGAAGTTGTTGTATTTGTAACGGAACAATTTGTTTGGATAATCACTCCTAAGCAATCTAATCACGATATTGTGAAATGGTCCCGCTATGTCGTGAATTGGCAGAAGTTGGAATTCAAGAACCATTGGATCGGGTCCCAGTGGCTCAATAGTCTGCGAGCTCGCCTTGTAACCGGTAGGTCTTGGGTTCAAACCCCGGTGGGTGCGTACTGCCGAAGAGTCCCAAACTAGGACGACACAGCTGTCCAGTACTCCCAGGTTTTCCAGTGGTTTGTCTAACTGATGTCAGCTCATGATGAAATCCTCCGTGCAATCAAACAAAATCCTTACAAATCCAATACTAGACAATATTTATACTCATTAGATTGTTTCACTTAACTTTGTCATTATTATTTCGCCTAGACTTCATATCACTGTTCCGACATTTGCATATCAAATGCTGATGTCATCGACGACTTTTCACGGCGTCCTACTTAAATCACTGGGCTACCAGGATTTTCGTCTACCAAAATGCTTAAACTCTTCGCTGCTTCTTATTGTTTCAATCATGTAATTGTATTATATGACCGATACATGAACTGGCGCGTCTTCTTAATTAGTTTCCAACTAAACACTGTGCAATTCTTGAGAGGAATGAAGGAAAAACTTACGGAACTGGTTGTCTTCTCATATACAACAACGTTATGTCACATGATATACTTCAGATTATTACTTTAAAAGTAAGTCCGGCAAAGTTAAACTTTAAGGACCACTAACTGCCAATCAGAGAATGACCTCAAAAGCATTAAAATAAATTTTACCAGCAGTGGAATTACACTCTAACACAGTGCACAAGTTCTATTCTTATATCAACAGAGTAATTTAACCACATTCTATGTATGTAATTATTTCGGTCTTCTAAGCCTAATCTTTCCTGAAACTAATCTCAACGTGAAAATATCCCTAAACTAACTGTAATCAAACTTGAACAAACCCTAACGTTGCTCTCATTAGGTTAACCTAACCCTAACATGTCCTTGGCTTAAAACGTAACTAAATCTTTCCCAAACCTAAGCTGAAACTTCCAAGATATCCCAGTTTAATAGCATAACACATTGATGAGCATATTTTATTGATGATGAAAACATTATTTGCCGGATTTCACTAACTTGCTCAGGGAGCATCTCAAGGTCATTGGTGTGGTCACACTCCATTGGTAGTTAGTGGTGCTCAAAGTTTAACATGGCCGTAAGTCCTATATGAAAAAAAGAGTATTTTGGAATACGCTGAAAATTTCTGTAATACATGTTTACACACTGCCAGAAATAAAACCTTATCATTTTATTAGTATTTTCCTTATCATTTGTTTCTTTTTCTCTGCTTAGTTTCTAATTTTATTGCTTCTTTTTATGGTTGTGTGTACACTGATAATGTGTGGTTTTACAATGCGATTTTGTTTGAGTGAATGTCAAGGTCATTCTGCCCTTGGACTGTCTGCAGGAAGTAATGGTGTATGATTCTTTTAGGCAGAGTTTTTAATCCCGCCTTGTTGCGAATAGATAGTCCACTTAATTCTAATGTACTTCATACGGTTGAATTTCAGTTAATTAATTTTTCTCTACAGTGCTTGTTTTGTACTTTGCCTGACAGTGCTGTTAAGGTAGTTTTAGGTTTTTGATGTTATCACCGTTGCATAGAACCACACATAGATTCCACTGATAAACGACCTTCTTTGTGCTGTCTTTGCAGTGTTTAGTAACCGTGAGTTCCTTAAGGAGGTGTCAGGTAGCTATGGGAATGTGTTACGTCTTGCCACTTCTAATCGATTCATTATTTCCAATTTTCAACCACATTGGATAGAGTTCCTTAATTTATTTTCACAGAACTCGAATCGAACGACCTATGTAGCATTCCCCACAAGAGCAGGTGAACCTGGAGTTGTTCATGTTACTCGTCAAATGCTAGAGTTTTGTCCTTCGAGATGTTAGAAAACAATGAGAAATAGGAGGACACTTATATCAGCATCAACACGAAGAATTTCTTCCGCAATAGAAACAAATGTCTTCTTCAGGTTGTCACATAATGAGTCTGCTTTGAAGTCTATCCTCATGTATAATTTCTTCCTCCATGCACAGATGAAAATATCTGTCAGGCTTAGGACTCATGTTGTTGTCTACAAATCATCATGAAGGACGCATATTTTCAATGGAGATTTTCTTCGGGTAGAATATCTCATCGTCTAACGTATCATCATCATCTGAGGTGCGGATTGTTCTCATCAGATAAGTAAGAGATACGTTTCAGCAGCTGACTATTACACACTTAAATCTCCTTGTAGATTAATCTTGCTAGCTTGCATCCGAGCTAATCAGCAGTGTACTTGGTTTTCACTGAGCTCAGAAAGGTGAACCAGTTCAAACCAGCCGACTTTTAGCTAGATTACTTGGGCTGTACATGATGCAAATTGCTGACTAACTTGCAAATTGTGAATTTGATTTATGATCTCGCCAATGTTACATTAAACTTTTTTCTGAGTGGTACATTAGGAATGAAAATTTATGCCCATTTCCTGTTTGAAGAGTAAAATTTGGTTACTACAAACTTTGTACATACAAATGCAATTTTGCAGCTACAATATGATGTGGTTCAATGGTAGAGCGCTAGCCAACCACTCACGTGGTCCCGGTATCGATCCTCAGTCAATACACTGCTAAACGTGACTAAGCAGGTAGAGACAGTCCAGCAAAAATGGAAGGTTGGGCGAGCGGCTAGCAAACCCCCTCCCAAACCTCATAAAAATAAAAACCACTGATACTGAAACGTCAAAGCCCTAGCTTGAAGCTCTATGTTCCACTTTTATTTATATTTATTTTTTTATTTTGTTCCTTTATGTTCCCAGTGGAACATAAGGCTCCAACCTGGAGCTTTGAAGTTTTGGTAGAAGTGGTATTTATTTCTACGGGATGGCGTTGCTAGTCTCATGCCCAAACTTCCCTCTTTACCAGTCATATTGTAGTGAGAGCTAGCTGTTAGTCAAAATTGGTGGACAGTCAATGTTTATTTCCCCAATATTGGTCGTGAGAAAAATGAGAACAAAGGCTTTGCATAGGCGGATACAGTTAACATATAGATGATCTGCTGTCTGACCCTTGTCTTCTGTTGTTACAATATTACTAGCTAAGCGAGGTAAAAGGGGTGTGTCAGCCGGAGATCGAACCCAGAACCTCCTGCATGGTTTGCAAGCATTCTACCGCTGTGCCACTGACGCACATGTCCCACTAGGAACATAAAGCGATAAAAACAAGTAGCCGGACTACTTGCTTTGTCCCTCTGTTTCCTGCTTCGACTGGTATCTTTCGTCTATTTTAATTATTTTACTTGTGAACAGAAAAGTAAGATATTCAGTCAAGTAAAGTATTATTCTTGTATTATTATTATTTTGTTACACTGTACAAACAATCCATGAAGAAGATCAGAAAAAGGCAATTAAACAGTTGCATAACAATAGTAATACTCATAACCATTTTGATAATAATAATAATATTAGTGAAGTGGAAAATGATAAACGAATATAAAAATACATTAAAATGAATGAAAAATATTATTTTTGATGATGACGATAATACCGAAGTATAGAAAGCATAGAAATCCATTTTCAAACAATCAAGGTGAAACAAATGGGTGGGTGGGTAGGTAGGTAGGAATAATGAATAATTAGAGAGATTCTTACTTGAAGTAAAATATTTGGCAAATGCTTCATTTATCCTACTACTTACTTTAAAACATCAAGTAATTTTTTTGCACTTCATGTAAACACAATCTTTTTTTTTTAATATTCTATTTGACAGACTTTATCGATTATTAGTAGCCTAGCTACACACAGACGAGTACACAATAGTTATATCACAAGTGATGAGACCACATAGGGCATAAATGAGCGAAGACACCTTAAGTTCATGGGGAAAATGTACACACAGACATAGTATTAAGGGCAATATGAAAGTATATAACTAGGCATATTATAGTCAAAGTACAGTATCACATATGTTGTGTGTAATAGACATCAAAATGTTTAAAGAAGACGAAACACATTAACTAACACACAGACGCACGCACGCAAGCACGCACATATACACAAATAAACATACAAACATAAGGAAATACTTTTCTCTTAATCCTTTCTAACTTTTTCCACTGTCTTCTTAAATATACCTTGATGATGACGACTTTTATGCGATGATAACTTTGAAGGCAGATAAAACGTGAAAGCTTCATTTGGTAGAATATCTAATCGATTCGCCAAGGGACGTACAATTGTAGGGAATGTAAATAATCCAAATAAAATGCTTAATACAACTTCTATGTAGAAACCATCAAATAAATTTGAGCATATTCCACCTATTGTATGACATGCCTATATTTTGAAAGAAAACAAAGAAACAAATTTTGAAATGGAATAAGTATCTAAATAAAACAATTATGATGTAGGCTTGGCTACGATGTGATATCAATTATAGAAGCACTGGAGGGTGTACCAGACAGCCGTTTCGTCTTCGCTTGAGACTATCCAACAGGACCATCCGACTACAAGGTGAGCTTGCAGACCATTCAGCCACTGGGACCAGGTGCGAGGAATTTTCGCCAATCCGCGACATATATAGCCCAATCACCAACCAATGTCATCAGCGTGTGACTGTTCTTTTACGTGACTCGGTGGATCCTGCTGATCACAAGCTTCTCTCTAACTGATGTCAGCTAGTTATCAAACGTGTAACCAATCAACTCCCTGCACACCAACACTTCGAAATTATGATGTAATATAAGGTCATTAACCGTATTACATAGTATAGTGCCTGAAACTGAAGAAGTATTAGTGTTATGTGATCACAGAGCCCGGGAGACAACTGGGCCAGTTTGAAGTATTTTTTTAAAGTTCCGTTGGCTACGGACCGCACCAAGATAAGTCGAGATGAACAACTTTCAGGTCAGACCTCTTCTAAGCTCCGTTTTCAGACAAGAGAGACAGCATAACTGGGGGTGCTAGTCACATGAAACACCTCCGTACTATTACAAGCCTATTTATTACCTAGCAGTACGAAGTCGCCAAAAGACCAAACACGCAAACTCAACATAGTATAAACAACTTACACCATGATAGTAAGTCCAACGACCATACAAACGACTTTTCTAGTATGATCAACTTGTGTGCCACATGATGTGACAATTTGAAATGTTACAAGGTGGGAAGCTAAACACTAGTTTTTACAGGAAAACAACATATTTAAACCAGTATATATGGAGTTCAATTTATCCGATTCTATGTCAGTTAAAATAGGATTTAGTGAAAGGCTTAAGCAATAGAGCTAAATAGTATAAAAGAAAATCTACAGCACGAAGCTTTGATAAATTCATCCAAAACTATATAATAGATTATAGTAATGAAAACGAAACGATCACGAAGGGCGATATAAATGAAAATATATCAGGAGATGACAACATAATACAAACAGAGGACCTCAGAAATCTTAAGTAGGTTTTTTAACAATGCATTCAAACCCATAAACTCACCCAGAAGCAAACTATGTCAGTTGGAGAAACTAAATAATTTACTTAGTCAAAAATACAAGTCAGAGTAATAAACCATGAATAATTAGATTAGAGGAGCACAAAATCTTCATGAAAATCTAGGGAAAAATAGCTCAGCTACAGCGTTATACGCAATAACACATAAACCTACAATAGGATGAGACGGTGACATTCTTAATAGCTAATGTAATAGGATGAAGAGAGATTAGCTTTTTAGTTAACTTTCGTCAAACATATACAGCTAAATAACGTTTAAAAAAGATCAAGTAAAATACCAGTGTACGTTGAAGATTAATGACTAACCGTAAGAAAATATGAAGAATTGTACATCAGAAAAGAAAAAAAACAGTAATTTGTGACAATTTATTTATTAGTCTTACAAAATGATTCTTAATCATGAAATAACGTTTGAAATCAAATAGGAGTAGCTCTCAGACACACAAGTGCAGCCCATTGCCCGAGTAAGCGAGTTCAAACTGAGACACAATTGAAAGGATGTATTTGCACAGACATTCATATTAGGAAAGAAATACTGATCAGCTGCAATTACGAAAGGCAAATTATATGTTGAACAAATTGCGACTATACTCATCATCGTCATCGAACAGAGCATAATAAAGAGCAGTCATTTCTCTACCTCAACTTCATCGACCATGAAAAGACCTTCGACAGAGTTGACTACGAAGTAATTTGGACATCTACTTCAAACTCTACACAACACTGTACTTCGCATCTTTATCAGCCTCACTCAACAGCCATATGACAATAACACGTGTCAAGTGGTTCACAACAGAAGACTCAGCGAAGCCTCTGAAGTGAAGGTTGACTGACTACTATCACCGATGATATTCGTGATTGTAGTGAAATGGATTATACGACAGACCACATATGGGCAGTGAGGAGACGGGAATGCGTATTCCAAATAAGAAGACTTCATAAAATCTGGACTTCGAAGACAACTGATGTCTAATTTCACGTAAATTCGAAGATCTACAGGTGAAGACCGAACAATTAGGAGAGGAGAGGTAAATCTGCTGCACTCTGCATAGAGAACAAAACATGGACTTTCAACACCAATGTCAAATCAGTCACTTCTTCTATATGGGTGATTCATGAATGGCATGTGACAGAACACTGAAGACTTTCATCAATAACTGCGTTAGCTGTCTGCATATTGAAGGTCAGATGGCCGACCACGAAGAATTAACAACAAGAAACTCTTGCAGCCTGCTTAAAATCTGGGCTATCGTAAACTTCCATCAACATGTATTGCATATAATGTCGCTTATACAGTTTACTTAAATAACCTAGTAAAATATGACCTCAGATAGAATTGCATACTCTGGCGGGTATTTAAAACATTTACAATCTGCTAATCTGCACGTTTTTATGAAACATGTGAAAAAGCATTATCCTAGACGGCAGCTTATCCCAATACAGAGGATAACTGTTCCTGGGTTGTTTCATTCCTTTACAAAATGTACTCCTGAACTTTTTATAATCGGTAAACAACAATAATGTTGTGTATTTCTCGAAGGAGAAAAAGAAGTCATTGTGGTGAGAGGTGGCTGCTAGCCAAAAACGGTAGACAGTATTTTACATCAATGGGTATGTGGCAAATATTGGTCGTGAGAAAATATGAACAAGACTGATTCAACAACCAATCACAGCAGACTTTGCGTAGGCAGATACACAGTTAACATATAGATGACCTGACATTCAAGAAACAGTCACAAAGAGATGCAAGGTCAACTTTCTGCGAGAAACAACCAATCACAAGACTGTGTTTGTCTCCTTGAATAAGCTACAATAATTTACATGAAAATATATAAATACGTGTTGATTTCCCTAATAAACGATCTGTTCCCTGACTCTTGCATTCTGTCGTTACAATATCATGATGGATTGGTTTGTACTTCAAGTCCAATAGAAATGTGTCACATGATCTACTGTTAAATTAATCTTTAACTTGAAGATCCTGGAAGAAGAGAAAATATTGCGCATTAAACTCCGCTGAAGGTTCTGTGGATTACATAGGCATTGTTCAAAATAAAGCTCTTATTATCGTTGTTTTTGTTGAACAAACCAATGAAGAAAATAGTGCTAGAAAAAATATTCCAGAGAAAATGGAGATGTGGTCAGCAGGAGACCCCCTGATTGATACCCATGGAAAATAAGATTGATATTATAGTAATAAATTGCCCAAGTTCTATTCTAATATCAATGAGACGGTCACTTGAGCAACCTATGATAATTCCTCACCGAAAGCTGCTATCTTGACGTGGTGGTCGGGCTTGAACACCGCATTGATCCAACAAGCTATACTGGCTGAGACTTATGTCTCTTGAGGTCCTACCATGCCAGGCAGGTTGTTTGGATAGCGGTTAGACAAAAAGCAGCTACCCAACCCAATACTATGATTCAAACAAATTCACAAAATATCATGCCGGATCGGTCGGAGTCCGGATTAAGAACGACCGCGCTTCCTGCTGCCGTGTCACAGGGCAGAAGTGATAAATGTGCTACTGAGACACACCAAACAAAAAAGAACAAAGAAAAACAGGCCGCGTGTGACCGGCCTCAAGCAGTTGTTCCCTGGGCTCTGCGGTCACGCGCAACCAACTTCCACGGTGTAGGTAGCCGGGAAGTAACAACCGCCCACACACTTCCAAAAGCACACGAAGCCTTCCTGAGCATCATCCCCCTTCACTCTATGATAATTACAGAAGCAAATAGCTGTCTTTGTTTTCATCTCCACTGAAGGAATCGTAACTCAGTAAATACTTCTGTTATGAGAATATTATTCGTGTCAGCCATTGACTTTTTAATCCAAACAATTAAAAATAACTGACAAAGTAAGTGTAGATCAGTATAATTAATTAACTTACTTGTATAGTTTTAGCATCTTTACATGTAGCATTCTGCGTTAACCATGATTGCCCATGAGTGTATAGAACATCGTTTGGATAATGTGAAATTTCACTTGTATTCATTACATAACCAGATTGTATAGATTTAGTTTGTAAAGATAATAAACCAGCCTTTAAGATATCAGCACCAGAGCATATTCTTACAGTAAGTGGTTCAACAAGAGATAAGAATATTGTGTTTGGTAGACTTGTCGCTGTAATAGAAGATTTGTTTTTAAATACACAATTGATTAAGCAAGGAAGAGTTATTACGATAATCTTTATGAAGAATAATACTTAAATTTATTTATTCAATAAATATTGGAAAATATAATTTCGTGACACCTACTGTCATAAATAAAATAGAATATTAAACTCCTTTTAGGCTTAAATGGCATATTCCTGTACTAGTTTGGGAGTTGAACAACTTATATGACTGGATATCAATCGACAAGGTTGTGAAGTTACATGGATTGGGATGGTTAGGACATGTGTTACGCCTACCCATCGCCTTCCTCGACAACGGGCAATGTTAGCTGACATAGGGTCAGGTTGGAAGAGAGCCAGTAGTGGTCAAACTAAAAACATAGCTTCATCAGTCAATGAGATCCACAACAGTTAGGTTAAGCCACGTAGGAAGATGGAGACTTCCTGGTTGGAGTCCGCAGGATAGTAAAAACAAATGGCTGAAGACAATTGGTGATATGGCTCAAAATCTCTCTCAGTGGTGCAGATGCTCTAGTTTTTCCATATTACTATTCTTTTTCCCTCACACCTCTGTTTTTATTTCCGTTTTCAATCTATTTTTACTTTCTTCTCTTGCTTTGTGTGATACGTGAAGTGTGGCGACTGGAACTGCTGCACATCTGTGCAGTGTTCTATGCTGAAAACAGTCAGTCAGTCAGTATACGGCTGAATGAGGTAACATTAAATGACTAGGACAGGTGTTCATTAGTTTGAGATCGGTGTAGAGATCCACATACACACACAGAGCACTCAGCACCACAAAAACAAAACAAGTTCGAGTTTTTAACACCTGTATCAGTGTTACTATATACTTCGAAGAATTGGTTCAACACCAAAAACATTCCCAACAGGCTATAATCTCTTCAGTCACAACAAAGAAATATCAGTTGTGCACTCCCATATTTTGTTAGTACATAGTAAAAAAAAGGAGCAAACAGAGCAAATAATGCAATCATCATTAGACTGAATAAACTAACTGACTGGTTCCACCATAGAACTTTGCATAGAAGTGAACCAGTTCAACTTGCCACACTCCATCTCTACCACAAAAAGGAAGACAAAAGAGAAAAACAGAAATTCGAAAAAACAATAATAAGCAGAGATGTAAGAGAGAAAGAATAGTAACAAGAAAAAAAACAGTAGAGTTTAATGGATGTTAGAAATCACAAAGAGTGAATGCATCTGCGCCACTGAAAACGATTTCATGCCATATCACAAATTACCCCTAGCCATTAGTTCTGAGCATCACAAGGACCCCAATCAGACAGTCTACATCTCCCTAGGTGGCTAGTTCAAAATAACTGTCAAAGATTTCATACACTGACTCCAAGTTCTGATCTGACTACCACTAGCTCTTTTCCAACCTAACCGTATGTCAGAGTAACCTGGTAAATGCCCCACAGGCCTTTTGTATCCATCAGGAGATTTCGTCAGCAACTAGTCCATTACGGCTGATGCAACTTCCCCAATAAGTGAAGTGATCAATGTTCTCCACCACTTCACTACTTATCTTTAAGTTAGGAGTCAATGGAGTCCAGTACTGTAACATTATCTTAAAGGAGTGAATCACACGCCAAACATTTGAAGATTTCTGCTCAAGGTGTTCAGAAGACTTTGCATTCTATCAGAGTCTTCACCCAGAAGGACTATATCATCTGCATATGCTAAATCGACAAGATTATTCCCTAGTAACAGGTTAATCCATAAGTCACTAAAGTCAGTTAGGATCATTTCCATTCGTACATATATGATGAAATAAAACAGAAGAGGGGACAGTGGGCATCCCTGATGGACACCACTGGTTGTCATCACTCCAGATAACAACCCTGTGTAAGCCTTTACACGGCCGCTGTGAGTTACAGTGGTGCCTTCAATACTGCGATGTACTTTCAGAGCACTTCATTCACAACCAAACATTGCCATAGTACCTCTCGGTCGATAAAGTGCTGAATAGTCTTCACACAAGGAAAAAAAGAAGCATAGAGAATAAAAATCGCAAATCATTTGAAAAGTAAAAAAAATTTACAGAAAATGTTAATATATACATATATATATATATATATATATATATATATATATATATATATATATATATATATATATATAGAACTTACCTAAATTAGCTGCCGTATTTAATAAAGTCATATATGTCCCTCCTACAGCTGGATCACTGATTCTTGCATGAAATGCCATTTGTGTAATAAACATGATATTAGTGAGTATCGAGTACACCACTAAGTGGCTTATAATTAATGCATAGAATGACCAGGAGAATGAGACATGCGTGACACCGCCACCACCACTACCACCTTCTGGAATAGATGATCCTGAATTCATTGTATAATTATCGTGCGTCGTTGAAGGGATGTGATTTGAAATTTTAAAATATGGAGCAAAATGAACCAATGGAACAGATAATAAGGCTAAAAATAAACTGTACAAAAGAAAAGCATTCACTCAATACATGAATCCAATACAGCGTAGATATAATTACATATCTTTTTCATTAAAAGGAAATCAAATTTGCAAACGTAAAAGGATGTGCTGACATGTGAATATTTCAAACTTGAAAATGGAACAATTTTTGTTTATTGATTTTTATTTTGGTGGTCTGGTCTGGCATGGATCAAGGTTCTTCTGTTCTTTAATCATTACACTAACTCGTATCTATTACTTCAGAATAACAACAAATGTAAAACTAGTCAAATTTTCCATTATTACTAATGAGAAATGTATCAAACCAACTTCTTCTCGAAAATAGCATTGATAACAACGTCTGGAGTGACGTCGACAGTTGAGTCAACGAGAAAAAATTCAACACTCAAGCAATGTTTCATAAAACCAGTTCCCTTGATTAGTGTTTGAACGAAGAGAGAACAAACATATTTGTGGGATAAAAACAGTCTAAAAGCTGATAAGTTATTATAAATATATATAGTGCGTCAGTTGTTCAGTGGTACCATGCATCTTGCCAACGACGGATGTGATGCGGGGATCGACTGCCAGCCGATGAGCTCCTAAACCTCATAAAGCTGGTAGTAAACCCGGTAAAGAGGAAAGGCTGGGGAGAATGAGGCTAGCTAGCAACTTCACCTCGTAAAAATAAAAAGAAACTATATTGTTCTTCGTTAATACTATTCCTTTGTCTCACACCTCTACTTACTGTCTCCATTATGAATTTCTTCTACTTTCTTCTCTTGCTTTGTGTGCTACATGGAGGGAGTGTGGTGACTTGAACTGCCGCACATATGTGCAAAGTTCTATGTCTAAAACAGGCAGACAAACAGTGAAAATAAACAATCACTGCTATTGAAACTTGAAAACCCAAGCTTGAAGCGCTACGTCCCCTCGAAACGTAAAGGAATAAAATTATAGAAATCTAACACTTCAGAGGTATTGCAATTCAAAGGGTGTAACAGGGAAACAGAAGATATGCAATAGCAGATAATTAATATTCTGACAACCAGAGTTTATTTCACCCTTAGTGTGATGCGATATTTGAGAGGAGATGGTGGTGGTTGTGGTGGCAAGGGAGAGGAACTGAGAAGAAATAATAAGTAGAAGTAAAGTTTAATACGTAGACAAACAAACAATGAAGTAAATTGGAAGGTGGAGAATGAGTTGTAATCAAAAAAGAAAATTTGTGACACAACAAAAACACAGTGTTAAGTCATGTAATGACTGGCTAACTGACTTAGTGACTGAATTTCAGCATGAAGTTTTGCACAGAAGTGCAGCGGTTCAAGTTGTCACATTCCATGCAGCAAACCAAGGCAGACAATAGAGAGAAGAAATTAGATTCAGAAATAATAACAACAATAAAAATAAGCAGAAATGTGAGGGAGAAGGATAAGAACGTGGAAAAATATGATGGTTTAATTGATATTAAAAGGATTACAGAGAGTGATCGCCAATCACCATCAACGGGAGGGATTTGAAAGAGGCTACTTCATTCACTTATCTAGGGAGCATTGTCTCAACTACAGGAGGAACAGACGAGGATGTCAAATCAAGCGAGAATCGGGAAGGCGAGAAACACATTCATCAACCTGAAACCAATCTGGAAATCTTCGTCACTCAGGCAGCATCAACAACAAAATTCAGTCGGATTTTTAATACAAACAACGTCAAGTCAGTTCTCCTATACGGATCAGAAACGTGGCGGGTGGGTCATAAAGAACATTTCCAACAGCCTGTTGCAGACCTTTATCAACAACTAACTGTCTTCGCTCTATACTGAAGATTAGATGGCCGGGCCGGAAAGAATCACCAACAAGAAACTATGGGCACAAACAAAAAAAAACAAGAACCAACCGCCCAACAAATATGCAGGAGAAGGTGAAGATGGATCGGACATTCGCTGAGGAGGCCGCCGGTTGACATCGCGCGCGCGTCAGGCCATTGCTCGAGTGGAACCTGAAAGGGGAGCGGCGAGTGGGACGTCAGTGCAAGGGTGACATGGAGGAGATCGTGTGAAGAGAAGTTGAAAGAGTATGGACTAACACGGATGCAGGTGAAAAGTACAGCAGAAGACATAAACAAGTGGAGACGTGCAGTTAAAGCCTTATGTTCCACTAGGAACCCAAGGGAACAATAATAATAATAATACAGAGAGTGAATGCATCTCTGCCCCATTAAGAATAAAATCCATTTCATACCCTGTTTCAATACTTTGTTTTGTAATTCAAGAACTTGGACGGCTATTTTCACAATTATTTAATAATGGGCTGTAGAAAATCTTTAATCCCTATGACAGGTGTGTGTGTAATCAGATTATCCCGAACTTGTTATCTCAAATGCACTAATCATCGTTGTAATGCATTTCTTGCGTAACAAGCCTAAGACAATCTGATCACACATACACTTCTCTAAGGATTTATGTTTTTGATTAGATATTAGTTAGTACCTAATGTAATGTGTCCGGTTCTTCGTTTGCTGCAGACTGAATTCTATCAGTCACATTGGCAATATGGCCAAGTTGGGAATGCATTATAGAACGAAAAACTAAGTGGTAACTAGTGTCCAATCAAAAATATCCAAATACAGTCTTACAGGAGGTCACTCACAAGCCCGAATAACTCAGTGGTAACATCCCTGACTGCAACACTGAGTGAGATGGGTTCGAATCTCAGAAGGGAAATGAGTTCCTTCAAGGTTGTAGATACGCCTTGCTAAAGAGAGTGTCAACTAGCACAAAATCTAGGTCAGGCAAGACATCCCTCCAACTGCCTCCAACCATCCAATATCAATCATTCAAAAGATTTATGATTCTGTGAATCCTAACCTTATGGTGGATGTAGACATTTAAGTTCCTCAATTATAAAATGAAATAAAATGGATTTTTATGCACCATTATTCAAACTCATTTACTAAACCTACTGAAGTCGTATACACAAAACATATGAAGGCCTTACACATTAGGAAGTGAAATCCACGTTTATATATATAAGCACCAACGGACTGATTGGCGACGAAATATCAGCACGGATCTAAGAAGCTCGAGCTACCTTCGCCGACTTACACCATCTCTGGCGTAGGCGTGACATCCGGTTATCAACCAAGGGACGTGTGTACTGCTCAGCAGTTCGCTCAGTCCTTCTCTATGGCTCTGAAACATGGCCAATACGAGTTGAAGACATGAAAAGGTTGGCTGTTTTTGATCATAGATGTTTACGATCTCTTTCTCACGTTAGGCGGTATAATAAGGTAAGTAATGTTGACCTTAGGCGTAGAGTGTTGGGCAAAGAGGGAAAATCAATCGACGAGGCTATAAAGTTACATAGACTAAGAAGGCTAGGTCACGTGCTGCGCATGCCTAACCATCGCCTTCCCCCGCCGACGGGCATTACTAGCTGATATAGGTGCAGGTTGGAAAAGAGTAAGTGGTGGCCAAACAAAAACATGGCCTCATCAATCCATGAAATCCTTGACAGTTGAACTGAGTCAGGTAGGGAGATGCAGACTTCCGGGTTGGGGCCCTCGGGACTCTAGGAATCAATGGCTGGAGACAATAGGTGACATGGCTCAAAATCGTTGTCAATGGCCAGCGCAGATGTATTCAGTCTCTGTAATCCTTCATATTCCTTTCTACCATTACCCATTCTGTTTCACTCTTATACTTGTGAAACTCTATTCATTCTCTCCACTCATCTTCTTGTCTACCTTTGTGTGCTATTCGGATCGTGGCAACTCGAACTGCTGCACTTCGGCGCCAAGTTCTATGTTGAATCCAGACAGACAGAGACATATACATTCAGAAACAATAAGTCATGAAATCAAACACAACATTGTTAAATTCTCTTTTTGAGTTCAACATTAATGTACTAGTATTATTTTTTTTATTTTAATGATCATGATTTAAATTTAGTCTTCCAATTTTCACTTTTTTCACTTATTTACTAGTAATTATATTTCACATAAATTCTTACGTCAGATAGGTAAGTGATTAGATTGTATGAAATACAATACACAATTCAGACAAACTGCGTCATCCTAATGTTTATATTATAGTTCATAAAATGAACTAATTGTTATAAAAATGTTTTTGTGTGTGCGATTTAACATCGAAAACCAAGGACTAACGGGCTACATAGAATTTGTTACAGTAACATTCTTCTGAATAAATTAAGAACACATAAGTCAATAAAGTGATCTCTCTTATCTACGCAACTTTACTTCAGAGCTGTAGAGTTATTTCGGGATCAACCGGATAAAACTCAGTCTCATCAGATGGACCTAGAAGTTCTCATCCAGGTTCCTGTGTTGGCACTGGGATTGTTCCTGGTTCCAGTCATCCTGACATATTAACTCAATACGTTCCCAATCTCGCTGCGCCTACTCTAATCAACAATCAGTCTAATAATCACCAACCGCCTGAGTCATCCGCATTACATTGGGAGTTAGCCACCACCACCACAGTGTCAGTAAACCCTACCAACCTCAAACTCTTGTATCCCTCCAGAATGTTACAAGATCATCACATCTTGTTTTTAGCGACAGAAGACCTGTAACCAATAATGATAACGGTATGTTTGGCGCTGGTCCAGGTTGCAGTGACTCAGGAGTGCATAACGGTTCAGTAGGTCCTCTCTGAAGTAGTGGAGTGGTGCCACCATCTCCCCCGAACGACCCTACTGGTATACCACTTTGTGTGTCAAATCCTTACCCACTCCCGGTTCAGATTTCAAAGACTCACTATTACACGGCGGTCCTTGAATGAGGTGTGCTATCATGAGTCCAGTAGGTGATACTCCCCTGTTAATGTCGTGAGGTTATCTACTCAGTACCGACTCAGAAGCCGATGGACATGAACAAGGCAACAGTGTTTTCCCCACCGTGACCTTAGTGGTAGATTTTGTCCTCTGAATAGTTGTATAATAAACTCCATATCGTTCGAACCCCGATGGGTACCAAATTAGGACGAAACAACTATCCAGTACTCCTACCTGTTCTTCACTATAGTAGTCAAAATTATTTCTTTCATTTCTTTTTTATCCCTTGGGTTCCGAGTGAAACATAGGCCTTCAACAACACATTTCCACTCTGTTCTATTCTCTGCTGTCCTCTTCACCTGGGACTGTGATCGCCCATGATCTCTCATCTCCTGCTCGCCACACGATCTCCTCTATGTCACCCTTGCACTGATGACGCACGTGTCGCTTCCCATTGGGATTCCACTCGAGTGATGGCCTGCATTGCGTGCGATGGAATTCGAAGGCCTCCTCAACGTTCTATTGATCCATCTCCACTTCCTCCTACATGTTTGTTAAGCAATCGGCTCTTGGTTAGTTTCTTCTCACATTTTCTTGTTATTTATTCTTTCTGGACATATGAACTTCAGTATGGAGCGAAGGTAGTTGTCGATAAGGGTCTGTAAATTACTGGATATCCTTTTCATGACACGTCAAGTTTCTGAGCCACATAGGAGAACCGACTTCACACTGGTGTTGAAAATCCGGATATTGTTCTTTATACTGAGACAGAGCGCAGAAGATTTCCAAGTGGATTTCAGGTTGGTGAAGGCCTATCTTGCCTTTCCGATTCTGGCTGGCTGGACTTGACATCTTCACTCATTCTGCCAGCCTGTGTTTGAAGCCGTGCTTCCTAAGTAGGTGAAGAAAGTGACCTCTCACAAATCTCTCCCGTTGATGGCGATTGGTGCTGGTTGTTATTGTTGCTTGGTTGGTTATCTTCATCTCCGTCTTCTCTATGTTCACCTGAAGTTCTGTCTTCGCTGTCTGCTTCTTCTGCCAGTTTGTTGGTTTTCACCTGTAAGTCTTCAGGTTTGTGTGACACTAAACACAAATTATCCACACGCCAAATCCACGTCTTCTAGAGTCTTCTATCGGTGGTCCAGTGTATCCCTGTCTTTTCAATCCCAAAGCACAGTCTGACGCATAGTCCAGTTAGTCCATCACAATTAAGAATATCATCGGGGATAATAGGCGGTCAGCCTTATCTTACACCTGTATTCACTTCGAACGCCTCGCTGAGTTTTCCATTGCGGATCGCCTGAAACGTGGCATTGTCATATAGCCAAGGTTGATAAAGATTTAGAGCCCTGTGTTGTGTGATGTTGAAGAAGTTACCAAAAGCCTTTTCAAAGTCGATGAAATTGAATTAGAGATTTAACTGCCATTATATGCTCTGTTCGATGATGATAATGATGAGTAAAGTTGCAATTTCATCACCTCATGATTTTCCTTTCCTTAATCCAGCTGGTTTGGGGTGGAGTTCTGCATCAGGTGTATCTTTTGGTCTCTCCAAGATGACGCGAAAGAGTGTGATTCCGTATCAGTTGTTGCAGAGTTCGTGTATAACAAAGAGAGTTTATCTCAGGAGTAAAGTCAATCATGACCACGATCAGTAAAGTAAAATATTCAATTAACAATGCATTAAAATATTTCAAAATCTGTTATACACATATTTCAATAACAATGAATTACCGAGGTAATATAGCCCAAGCGTAATATGATAAAACTTTTGGTCCATTTGTTATTTTAATAATAAAAAGTGGTAAAATCGCTTGAAGTGGTAACAGTAGAATCCCAATGAAAGCTAATCGTTCTTTAGGCAAGCCTTGCTCGATTAATTTTAATCCAGAAATATTATCCGAAGCGGAGAAACATACCTAAACATAACAAAAAACAAACAAGATTTATATATATATATATATATATATATATATATATATATATATATATATATATATATATATATATATATATATATATATATATATATATATATATATATATATATATATACCCAATCATCATATTGTGGTGAGACCAGGCTGCTAGCCAATTGGTAGACATTAATCTACGTCAATGTCTAGGTCACTAATATTGGCCTTGAGAAAATATGAACAAGGCTGATTCAACAACCAATCACAGAAGACTTAACGTGGGCAAATAAGATTTGCAGATATATGGCGTAACTTTCCGAGAAACCAGAAACAACCAATCAGAAGACTGTGTTTGTCTGCTTGAACAAGCTATGATATTGTACATGAAATATAAACAAATACGTGCTGATTTCTGTAATAAAACGATCTGTTGCCTGCCCCTTGTCTTCTGTTGTTACAATATGAGTGTGATTCCCTCCTATGACAGACTGACTTAAAATAGTTAACAGAGGTTTAAACCTGTAAAAATAGTACATTTAGGAGAAGAAGTTGAATATAGGACTTCAACGGTACGTCTCCATTTTACTCAGTTATTTGCAGTCCCTTTCAGTTGACTATAATCCTACATTTCCTCCTGATATATTCTCCTCGAAGACACACCCAACTCGTCGTTTCCCTTTCAAGTTCCCCTCAAGGGATCGCCTGGCGAGTGAATTCACATAACGGTATCCTCACCGCATTTCCGATTCATTTCTTCTGCATTTTTTTTTCTGGACAACAGGTGTTTGGTTGGGGATAGGTTCAAAAATTTTCAAATTTGTGTTTGAATGTTTCACTGTTCACACCTGAATAGGCTGTAACAATTTATCATTGCATCAGATAAAAAGGCACCTACATAACACCGCTTATAGTACAATATACACTCAACTTATTTATTTCATTCCTTTGCGCTGAAAATGGAACACACAGGGCTCCATGCTAAAGCATTGGAGTTCCAGTAGTAGTGGTGATGTTTAGATTTTACTGGACAGGATTGCGAGCCTCACATCCAACCTTCCCTGCTTACTGGGTTTACTACCAGCTAAGTGAGGTTTTATGAGTTCTTAGGCAGGTAATCGAACCCTTGATCAAGTGTGTGGCTGGCGAGTATTCTACCAATGAATCACCAACTCATTATTTGCCTAGAATCATCTCACTTCAATGAGTGGTCTGTCTGTTTTCGACATAGAACTTTGCACATATGTGCAGCAGTTCAAGTCACTAACACTCCATGTAGTACACAAAGCAAGAGAAGAAAGTAGAAGAAATGCATAATAGAGACAGTAAAGAGAGGTCTGAGACAAAGGAATAGTAATAACGAAGAACAATATAGTTTCATTGGAAATCATAAGTCACAAGGAGTGGATGCATCTGCCCCGGCCATTGAGAACGATTTTGAGCTATATCACCAATTTTCTCCAGCCATTGGTGCTTACTGTCCCGAGGACCCCAACCAGTCAGAAAGTCTATACCTTCCTACGTGGCTTAAACTAACTTTTGTGGATTTCATTGATTGATGAAGCTATGTTTTGGTTTGACTGCTGCTCGCTCCTTTCCAGCCTGACCCTATATATCAGTTAACATTGCTCGTCGAGGAAGGCAATGACTAGCCATACGTAACACATGTCTCAACCATCTCAGTCGATGCAGCTGCTTCACAGTCTCGTCGATTGATTTCTCCTCCTTACCTAGCACTCGACCGAGACCTAACCTCAATATTGCTCACCTTATTATACCACTTTACATGGGAAATAGAACGCAGGCACCTATGATCAAAGACAGCTAATCTTTTCATTTCTTCCACTCTCAATGGCCAGGTCTCACAGCCATAAAGGAGGACGGAGCGGACTGATGAGTAGTACACTCGCCCTTTGGTCGATAGTCGGATATCATGTCTACGCCAGAGACGGCGTAAACTGGCATATGCGAAACTAGCCCTCTGTATCCGTGCTGAGATTTTGTCAGAGATCAACCATTTGGGGCTGATGGTACTTCAGTGAGTGGCCTCTCTTCATGGAATGATCTAGAAGACTACCTCCGCCATTCTGACATTGCCGGGAAGTGGAGGTGGTAACTTCATACACTGAACTACAAGTGGTTTACTGTCAGCTTTCCATCTTGAAGAAGTTGAATCAAAAGCCATTTAGAAAGTGAATATATAGGTGGAACGCTACCAGACATCAACAAAGTCCGGTTTCACGTCCTGAATAAAAGCTAGTGATTCCGTTATGTCTAAATATCGTACTCGAACTCCTTTCGTGTGAGAATGAGAAACTCTGTGTAGAACCGTAAAGCAATCACGTGCAGTTGCCCAACAAAACAACTAGTGGTGTTCTGTTTTCGTCCTCTGGATAGCTAAACTGAACAGCATTCTAGAGGACATTTGCACACTTGAGGCTTTGTACAACCGGCATACTTTACTGAACAATAATAATAATATTATTGAGGCGGCCAAACGAGGTATCTTATCCTTATTGATAGATTAACTGTCTGCTGGAGAATGTGGTTAGTTAGATAGATATGTTTGAAATGCAGTTTCTAAGAATCTCTGGCTCAATAACACCCTTGAACTCTAGGTTCATACGCAGAGAGTGTTCTCAGGAATAGCTGCAACCCTCGGCGATGGGGATTTTTCTCTCATGCTTTTGTCTATAAATCTAGGTGGATAACCGTTTTCCAGCGTGGTGTCAAGTAGAGGTTTTAATTTAGTCTATGTTTTATCTTCCGAACAGATTTTTCGAATCCTTCAGTATGTACCATGTTTTGCTCTTGGCCTAGCCAAAAAAAGCACTGGAAGTTATTACACTATCTAGTCTACATTGGTTTTCAGCATAATGATATTTGGATCAAGCTGTCTTGTCCTCCAGTAAGTTGTACATACAGGAATAGAAAGGCATGCTCGATTCACATTCTAGGGCGAATTTTATTGAAGGGTGTACTGTGTTGAATGTGCTGAGGAGATTGTCTAAATCAATTTCCTCAGATTTTCTTTGTCTTCACTATTTACATCTTCTTTTGCTTAGAACGGATTTTCTCACACATCACCATGTATCTTATTCTAGTAATATCATCTCGTCTTTTGAATATATCGTCTTTCAGATAAAAACAAGGGTAATCAATGTACGTAAATAAAGATAAAATGTAAAGTTATTATGGAAGCGTAATAAAAAAAAATCGTAAATGTATTACGCTTGTTTACAAAAGAAGCATAAACTGTAGTTTTAAAATAATTAGAAAAACAAAACAATGGTTCTTTTTTATCATTATCAACTGAAAGAGTAAGAGTTATTTGACCAAGTAGTGATATTTCTCAGCAAGTGGACACGTCCACACTTGTAAATTACAATACCAAAGAATAGTTGGAATTCAACAAACCCTATCGTTTTTTTTTGAAGAAAGAGACTTCAAACAAGTAGTATCACAGCAGAAACAATAAAGAAAACTAATATTTTCAATAGTTGTTTTGTAGGGGCTTGATTTGTTTCAAGTCTAACCACTGATTGATGTCAGTCAGAGAGCCACTGAAGAACAGGTAGGAGTACTGGACAGCTGTTTCGTCCTAATTGTGAACTCATTGGCAGTAAGAACCCACCGTCAAAGTTCACACTCAGGACTTTCCAGCCATAAGGCAAGCTCGTTGACTATTCAGTTAATAGGACCCAACTCAATGGCCCATAAATTCGAACTTGAATCAGAGCCCACTGACTGAATGGTCTACGAGCCTGCCTTATGGCTGGAAGATCCTGGGTTTGAACTCCGGAGGTGGGTTCGTACTGACATTGAGTCCTGAATTACGACGAAACAGCTATCCAGTACTCCCACCTGGTCTTCAATGTTCCTCTAAATGATATCAATCCGTGATCAAACTTGAAGGAAAATTAATAACTAGCTGGAGAATGGGCCTGTGTTGAACAAAATGATCCTAATTTCTTGTTTTTCGATCATGTCTAAATCTAATACAGGAGTATGTGATAAACAAACACCACATAAGCGGTATGGTACAACCGAGGATGGGTAAACTTCAGTCTTTCTCTAGAAATGCTCTCATGTGGCCACGCGTTCATAGCTTCTGCCAAGTAAGTTCTATTCATCACTGGTGTTTACGCGAAGGTGGTATTCTTCATAAAAGTGAAAGGGTAATTTCGAACGACTGGATCTTACAACCGGACTGGTGGACATTCAGGTTTACCTAGGGAAGGGGGCGGAAAATCCAGTTTCCAAACCTACGATGCACATAAGCTCCAGAATAAGAATGGATCAAATGGCATATGTACCTGTTTCGGCTGCCGGGACCCATGGGAAAGTAGCTCCACTACTTTGTGGATCAGACACGTCAAGTCAAATGTTGCTCGGAGGGGGTTCCTTTAAAGACGACTACCTGCTCGTATATCTGAGCTCCCTGTTAGTATCCAAGTCCTTGCGAAAACTAGGAGGCAATAAATTCATTTGTGTCTCATTTTTTGGTGCTAATAATGTGTATCAAGTTTGTGTTTTAAATGAACGAATAAACAAATTTTCACTTACTTTGACAATAAAAAGAAACATTATATACTGCATGATAGGCTTCAATCGACAAATGCCCAACATAACACGATATGTATCAATCAGTGATAATTCTTCATTCGATTCTGTTGTATTCAACTGTTCATTTGGTGAAACTTCAATTATATGACTCCGACCATCTAGTGGATCTTGTACTGCTGTCGAATCGATAAGTCGATCATCATCACCATGATTAGAATGAATTTGTTTATGACTTCGATTACCTTCATCTGAAATACGATTACGAGAACGTGATAATCGATTGTGTTGTTTATCTTCTGATTTATTTGATGAAACAGTTAATAGATTGTTATTGTCATAAGGAACATGTGCACGATCAGAATGCATAGGTGAATGATTACCTGAGTCATTAGTTATTTCTTTTTTTAATATTCCGACAAGTGTAGTTGACACAAGAAATACAACGCCCCAAAAATAAAGAAAGCCTATTTGATGATAGGTTGAAAATAAGTGAAATAAAAGAAGTTATTAGTTACTGGTTACAGGTAATAATAATAATTGAAGTAAGATACAAATCTGAAATGCGGTCATAATTTTATGATTTTCTTTGACATTCAATTCAATCCCTTTGTTTCTTAACCAAATTTAGGTTTTGTAATAAAACTGCGAATGATGATCACAAATAAAATAGGAAAATCGTAGGATTGGAAAAAGAGGCTTCCAAGCATCTTTTATCTAGGCGGCATCGTTTCAATAAGAGGCGACAGCACGGGTGAGGCATGTCGAAACCAGTCAGGATCAAGAAGGCGAAAGCAGACTCTTATCGCTAATCACTCTGAAATCTCTTTGCGCTCAGCATAAAGAACGAAATTCAGATTTTTGACACCAATGTTGAGTCAGTGACTTCTATATGGGTTAGGAAATTGGCACATCATGAATGGCATTTCTGACAGGACACTGCATGCTAATTGGATGAGTAAATCAGGACGATTGATGTAATTGTTGTTGAATAATTGCACTACTCAGCAGAATATTTCTTTAATTTATGATAACTTTTTATATCGAATCCTATACTTGCTATATGAAGTGAGTCGGCTTAAGGTTGGGACATTTGTTATGCATGCCTAGCAACTGCCTTCCTCGTCAATCAATGTTAGCTAACAGACGATCAGGGCTGGAAAACACCTGGTGATGGTCAAATCAAAACTTATTTTCAGTGCATGAAATCTTTAAGCCAGCCACTTAGCGAGGTTAACACCTCGTGGTCGGGACTTTGAGAAGATAAGAATCAATGGCTGGAAACAACTATTGATACTATTCAAAACCGTTCTTAATGGAGCAGACACATGCACTCTCTGTGATCTGCCATATCCATTAGGCCCTACTGTTTTCTCATGTTAATATTCCTATCCCCTCACATTCCAGCTTATTATTGTTCTTTCAGAACTCCTCCTTTCTCTTTTGTCTAGCTTTGTGTTCTACATAAAGCGCGGCAAATTGAACTGGTGCACTTCTGTGCAAACTTCTATTTTGAAACCATTCAGTCAGAGTAAGTTTAACTGAACCCAGACTCAGTACGCACACCTCAGTATGAATCCTCCTGTGCAACCATCAGTGTTTCAAAAGTAAAATAGTATCATTCTACTGTTATGCAACAGGCTTGGTTTACAGCCGAAATTCCGATTCCGCTGGTAAATCATCTACCCGATTTGCGATAATACTACGATAAACATGTACATATTTGGTTTAAAACTAACCTGAAAAGGTAATTATCCCTTTGCCTTCAACAGGAATGCTTCTTATATACGTGTTAGAAATATCTGGTGATTCTAAGCACATAAACAAGATAAAAGCAATTACATAACCCAATGTTTGGCCGACTGTGTTGCAAGTAGAAGCCCATCCTAAGTTTTTTCTGAAATGTAAAAGTTAAAAGGACTTGAAAAGATTTTCGGTTTTCAGGGGGGGAAGAGTTTTACAAATAAGAAAGAAAAACCAATATCGAATACCTAGAATAAAATTGTTTGAAGATGCTTGTAGCCATGACCTAATTTCAGCTTATGAAATACAGTGATAAAATATTTTGCTATTGGCAAGAGTATTTATTAAATCGAAATTTCATATTCTACATTTGTTAAACATCAAGAAATTGATTACAATGTGACCGCCAATCAAGATTTTTAAACTGACTAGAGAAATTTCAGGTTTCGGTTTGCAATTGATAGGGTGCATACTGATGAAGAATCCCAAACTGGGACAAAACAGTTGTTCAGTACTCTTTGCTGATTTTCCAATCATTTTCTAACTGATGTCAGCTCATGATCAAACCTGCGACTAGAGAATGCAATAGTTACAGCTGCACACTTTAAAACAGCTCAGATGAGTGAAGGGAACGAAAATGTCAGCATAGCGAAATAGAAACTCATGGATGCAAGGCATAGAATAATTTTATATAGAGATAAGCATTTTTTTATTCTTCGGATAACTGACTTCATTAAAATCATCTCAGTAGAACTTTTAAGAATTGATCTGACAGTTATTGTCTAGCGTTGGGTTTTTCTTTATGGTAAACTGAGAAGGCTCAGTAGGCCAGTGGTAATTTTCATAATAAGTAATTTGGTGATAGATCTTGGTGGTTTGATTCAAGACTGATAGCTTGAGAAATGTGTTATTCTCGAGTTGAAGACATCTTCTGTTTGAGTAAGGAACCAGACATTTGACAGTGACAAGGTGAAACATACCGTTTTTACACCTTATTAGTAATAATGACCATCACTTGAACATTTATTTAGACTGAAGACTTCTCAAATACCAGTTATTTATAACATAATAATTACAGAATTAGTGCAAATGTATGTATGAGTGACTCCATGAATTCAGCATTTACCAACAGGTTATCAATTCTATTTGGAGTAAAATTATTACCTGGTTTTAAAAACCTCAGCCAATTTGTATATATATATATATATATCATCAAAATTTGGATAGTAAAACACCCAGACAATTTAATATGCTGAATAAACTTAGACTGCAGGAGGCAAAAACAACTCATGCTGAGCTTTGATTACCAGATAATCAAATTTTTACAAATAAAGAACTGAAAATAATAAAACTTTTGAGTTGTACGACTTGTGCAACTGATAAAACCATGCAACATGTAGGAAATGAAGCAATGACAATTAAAAGGAAACAATACATTGACCGAACATACAGAACAAAACACAAATCATCGGTTGACAAAATATTGACTGAAAAAGTAAGACATCTTCATGTTTGTTATAACAAAACAGTTCTTGATACACTCAACTGTTTATTAGGCGATATAAATACACAACTCTTAACCATTGAAAAGTAATTTATGACTCACTAACAAATAAACGTAAAAATATGCACAAAGGCGGGTTAGTCCATGTTTCCACTCTCCAAGAAGCATACAAAACGAGGGAACAAACAGAATACTCCCTCAATGAACAGACATAAGTACAACAAAAAGAATGATTACACAAAGACTAATCCAAAACTTTGGAATTTGAGAGATGGATAAGGAGCAAATGTGTCTGTGCCATTATCAAGGATATGAGCTACTTCACGAAACGTCTGACAATCCTAGCATCCTAAAACCTCTAGCCAGACAATTTGTAGATCCCAATGTTTGTAAAGGTAAACTACTATATGCAACCTCAGAGAATCCTGACAATTATCAAATGTGCACCGCTAAATCTCCCTTCATGTACACTCAGGATACAAAATGAAATTCGTCATTTGCAAATTATGCATGCTGAAGAGAAATTTAATTACAGTTTTTTCTTTTAAAAATATACAATATTTAACTTAAAATGAGATCTGTTTAAAAACACAAGCGAAAAAAGCACACCCCAGTATGGTATCTATTACTGGTTGAAATGATTGACTAGAAATCAATAATGTTGATCAGCAGTGCTGAGCTGAATTGTTTGGCGTACATCGTTGATAAGCTTTACAGAAACGGAAGAAACATCCATCAGTGTTAAAATCACCTTTATAAATCCCTATAAGATATGATTCAGAATTCATGTCCCATAGAGAACATGCCCTCCCTAACTATTTAGTATCATTTCGTCGAACGGCATATCTAATGCTAATTGTTTAATAATATACTAGTTACCATTCTAGTCAAGGAGTTTAAAGGGTTTTGAAATAGTACAAAAGGTTGAATTATCAGTGCACCTAATAAAATAAACAATTTTAATTTGACAATATATGCAAGTAGCTGGCTAGAACTGCTGATGCCAGTAAAATACAGTTGGTACACAAAATAAAACAGAGAAGCTTAAATTTTGCTTGCTTGCCTACACCTACAAAATGCATTTGATCACAAAAATTAGGACATGCAACTTACAATGATTAGGAAGATATATTAATGTGTTAAACCTTTATGATAAATTGTGAGTAGGGAAATAAAAGTGACCCGTCTTTTATTTTACGATGACCGAAATTGTAGAACATGTTAATATTACAGCAACCCAAAAGATTTATCCACATTACGAAAACATCTCAATAATTCAATAGAACATATGGTATAAAGTTATAATCACAAAAAACTTTTAGATTTACTTCAACTAATACACTGCTGAGAAGTGTAAGTAGAAAATACTAACAAGCACAACTTTTTTCACATGCAGCATGTTAATTTGAAGCTGAATGACAAGGAGTAAATTGCTTTTTCTAGTTAGAATGGTTTAGCGAAATAATAGATAACTATTTTATGCATGGACCCACTGCAGAGTCTCCTAACGAAGAAAGAAGCTTTAATTCAATTTAATGATAGTTTTAGCAATACATATTGCTAACGTTCTACAGGTTTTTTCCTTGTTTCGTTCTATCTGTATATACAGTCAAGTAAAGAGGCTTACTAGAGAAATGGTTCGCTATCGAAATTTCACACTAGACCACACTAATTTATCGTCATGATTCTCAATATAATGAAGATAAGTCTTATGTTTGAATAACTCGTTTATATTCAAACATTTAACCGCATTATATATATATATATATATTCAAAATAATTAACTCACTTCGACAACATTGTAAGCGCCCAACCATCTACTGCTATGTCTTGTGTAGCGGCGAGAAATGTGAGCCCGAAGAAAGCCACAGTTAAGCTAAAAATATCCACTGGATGTGTTACTCCTAACGGACCCCATGGGTTATCGGATGTACGTCCCAACCAATGGTCAATATATCTTGCAAGAATAAGAAGATCAATTCCAATGGCGTACTGAACAGGAATGAGCCAAGTTTTGCGCCTGCCTATTCGTGAACTGTACAGTGAATCTACTATTGGGGCCCAGGCTAGTTTGAGTGAAAATGGCCATGTGACAAATGAAAATGTTGCTTGAAACTGGTAATTAATCGTTTTCGGATCCGACTGAAGTAGGTATGGAACTGCAGCTGCCAGTCCCAGAGGAATGCCCTGAAATAGTAAATAAGTAGCAAGAAACACTAAGCTTCCAAATGCAATTTAAAGTACTGTAAGAAAAGAAATTATGAATTAGGGTGAAGTATGATTCCGTAATATTTATTTTATTTTATGACTGGGGTGTATTATTATGTATTTATACACACTGACGTCCCAAACACAGTTTACTGTTCATAATCACATTCAAGTAATTAGATGACTTTTGGGCTTTGTTGATATAGTTCTATTTGTCTTTTCAGTTTATTGGTAATAATATTTTCTATTAATTCTTTCCCTTGACTGATCAATGAATATATGTTCATCGAATCTCCCTTAAACATGCATTGGAATGACGCGAAACAATTACCAGATGTATAGAGGATGCTATTACTAACTAACAAAGGATAAGAAAAAAAGAACTTTGTAAACAAAATCAGAGTAAGTACCTGGGTATGATTATGAGCAGTAAATTGTACTTGAAACGTCATCAGTAACTATATTAATCCTGTATCACTGCTATACCGAATTAATTGATTCTACTAAGAAAGTCTACTGTAAATTAGAAGTCCATTGATAGCGATGAAAATCAAGAGATGAAATGATATAAAATTATGTGTAGTGAACAATGGTTAGAGTTTTCACACTTTAAGACAACAACGCTACCAGATAAAGCATATTATTAACGGCTTCTACTATTTTTAGTACTCAAAACACACGATCTGTACGTACCAGCAACAGCAGCAAGGACTAGAAAGATATTTTTCACCTACTAACTTTAAAATCTCAGTTACCTGATTTGTAGGATAACTACCAAATTCGGCCTTTTAATCAACCTTTCGAGCAAGCTGATGAAAACCTATTGAACACATGAGAAAATCCTGAATTTGACTTATGTGGTACGAGTTCATTTGGCGTAACCAACTTCTTTTGGTATGCTCTAAACCACCATTTCAACAAACCACAGTTTCTTAGCAATAACGCGGACATGAAATGAGTCACAAAGACCAATAAATCACTGCGAAGAGGGAGAAATATGTAAAACAAAAGGTCAAAAATAGCTATTAGGCAATGAATTTCGTTCTTAGAACTCTCGTTTAGCTGGCTGAAAATACGACGAAGTGGTTGCAAATTTAAGTATTTCTAAGAACAATTCCCAGACCACTAAGTCATATGCTTTATAAAACCATACTCAGTGAGTTGTGACAACAGCCCATATAAAAAATGATCATTAATCACTCAGCATCTACAAGAGTGATTCCATTACTTGTAAGAGGCATTTTTCAAAGCTCTGAGTTAGACTTACAGTAAAAGAGCTAACCTAGTCTACCACACTAAATTTAGTGAAAGTTTCCGAATCCCCGATTCAATTGTCTGAAACATTATGCTTAAAATTTCACCGACACCTCAGTTTAAAAGAAACCTGCTATTGATTTAGTTGTCCGTATACAACCTAGAATATACGCAGAAATTTGGTCTATAGAAAGCTATAGCACAAAATAGAAAATTTTGATTTTATGTTAGATAATCTTGCAACAAACTATTCATGGAAATCAAAACAATAATAAATATAAAAAGAAGAACAACTATTATCCAGGAAAGATATTACTGTTACTTTTGGCATATGTATTTCGTGACACGTGTCAGTGAACCCAGAACTTACCTGCAGGATGTATAAAAACATAAGGACACATATACTGTACGTATCTGAACATTCTTTCTCGTGTTCACTACTCAAATATTTTCCTTTTTTAAGTGAGTCTACGACGACTGGTGAAGACTTGCTCTTCGACATCTTCACCGTAGCGAAGCAACCGAACTAGGCGCTATTAGAAACCCTGAGTTTCGGGAATCATTTCAGTGTCTCATATTAGCGCAACAGAGGGATTTCACATTTATAGAAAGCAATGAGTATATATTCATTCCACATTATTGGAAAATACAAACTTGTTCCTGTTGCAATATTCACTTTGGAAATGAAGGCAATCATCGGTGATTCCTCCAACCCATACAAACCAAACTATAGAAGATTCCTCCAATATTTGGACCATGCACATGGTCCAGGGGTTCGATCCCTTGCTGACCCACTCCTCTATCTCGCTAAGACAGAGATGAAATGGTGGTAAAGAGCGTAGGTTGGGCATAAGTCTAGCAACACCATACTGTTAAAATTAACACTGCTACAGAAACTTCAAGCCTCTAGCTTGAAGCCCTATGTTCCGCTGGGAACGTGAAAGAGTTAAAAAAATAATCAGTCTGCACAATCCTGCACTCAAGATTTATTTATGGTCTTATTTGCGCAGGATATATTTGGCAGACAGCATGATGATGTATACAGTCAAAAATTTTCAGATTCCCCTAATTTCCGTAAACATTTTTTTGCCTCTCTAAAATGTTTTATGGTTCTTCTCAAATAAGTAGTACCAAAATGATTAAAAACCACGATCATTATGTAAAGATACATGTGGAGCCTCTATTAAAAACATTTCAGGTACAACATCTAACTTCTTATTGTCCCGAAACCGATTTTCCAACTGTAAAATCTGGTATCATTAACAGTCGTCTCATCAGACAGCTAGGAACAACCTAGTGGGATAGTCATCTCTATCGCTTTCTACTGTATTCTACCCATTAAGCTAAACAGAATCAGTACATTGTGAGAAAATGTTCTGGCTACTGGAATTAATATCAGTCTCTCTCCCCCTCCTCCTTTATGACGTATTCTTTAGTAATATTTAGTTAGTCGCATGTCTCTGGACGTTCGATCAGCAATAAATATTGCCTGGTGGCTGTTCCACATTATCTACTTGCTGATGAACTCCTAGTGTGTAATTTGTTATAGCTAGTATCGCCCAAGAGTCATTGTGTCACAAGCATCACAGCCACTTATCTAAAATCAACCACTCATTTAAGTATGAAATTCAAGTCACCAGGTGTTAAACTTTATAATTTATTTGAACAAAGCAAGAACTACAGTTTTAGCAGAATAAAATGGTGCCTTCTTTTATTTCGTTGCCTTTACGTCAGATGCTTACATGGCAAAGACATTATTAAATATATCTACAACAACAATTTTAACATACTTGCACAGAGTTAAATTTAAACTTGTTGTAGATATATTAAATAATGTCTTTGCCATGTAAGCAGCTGACGAGAAGGCAACGAAATAAAAGATGGTACCATTTTATTCTGCTAAAACTGTAGTTCTTGCTTTGTTCAAATTCATTAAGGGGAACAAATGTATGAAATTTATAATTTATATCTGTACGTAGTCAACGACTGTGTGTATATCTCTGTTCAAGCATATATTTGCGTCTCTTTTAAACATGTGAGGCTAATCTATTCATGACAAAACCAAAAAATTATTTGTCAGTGTCCAGATCTTACTAAACCAGACCTCACACTGTCCTTGGAATAGTTTCAGAAACAATGCGTAATAACTGACACGAAAAACCAGAACGCAGATTGGCGACTAGAGAATCCTTTATTCTTACGCCGATATGTAATCAACAATAAAGTTATTCCACACAGGGTATAAGAATAAATGTTATAACAATAAATCCCAATAATACTTCTGAGAGTTTTTCTCTTTCTTCCAACGAACAGCGAACGACGAGACGATGACTGCCGTATTGATGACTTCTGCGAAAAATATGGAGGAGTTGGGTTTGAGCAAACAACCATGAATTGATCGTTCAATCTTCAACCACATTGACAACATTCATATGCATTTCGAAGGATAAAAAGCCTAATAATATATCATAAGTTAAGACCGTGCACATTAGTCCACAACCTTGTCTAGTTCACTAGCTCGCTAGTTTTTTAGCCGGTCCCAAGTCCGGGTAAAGAGGGAGGGTTGGACGTGCAGCTAGCGACCTTACACCACTAAATCTTTCAAGCTGCTAGAGAAACTTCAAAACAGAAAGCATAATAAAAATACAAAAGCTCCAATTGAAAATCTTATTCTTCCTTGGAATCGGAAAGGCGAGATGACACAGCAGGCTGGTGAAATCCAGCCTCCTGGGAGTCAGCCGATGTCTTCTCTCGATGAAAGGAAGAGTAAGAATGGGTACATGGAATGTCCGTACAATGTGCAAGACTGGGAAGGCTGCTCAGGTAGCCACTGAATTGCGAAGATATGTCATAGAAGTGTTGGTATCTGCGAAAGCAGTTGGAATGGATGTGGACTGACAACACTATCAACTGGAGGGTCACTAATCTGCTCCGGTCTGGTCACTCGGGCGACAACCTCGACTACAGTGAATCGGTGAGTGGCTATCATGATGTCACTAGCTGAAGCCAGAGCCCTAATGCAGTGGAAACCAATTTCATTCCGCAGGATCATTACAGCAGGATTCAACTCAAAAGGCAGGAAAGTTAAAATTATCCAGTTCTACGCACAGTGTTACGAACAACGCGGAAAAACATAATAAGGAGGATTTTTACAAACAACTACAAACAGTAATGGACAACATCTCAAATTGTGACGTCAAAACCCAATGGAAGATACGAATACCAGCCAAACTGGGAGCAGATAAAACAGGAAAATAACTCACTATGAGTCGAGAGGAGCTGATTAGGCGGAATGAATGAGAACAGAGAACTATTCGCAAACTTCTTCTCTTCGAACGATTTGACGATCGGAGGCAGCGTTTACAAACACACGGTTATACACAAAACAACATCGATTTCGCCTGGCGGACACACCACAAACCAAGCAGATTTCATCTGACTGCTGCTGAAGGCAGTGAAGACGCTGGACATAAAGTCGAGAAGAGGAGTAAATGTTGTTTCAGATCATCAGCTAGTTCAAGGGACCTTGAAAATGAGGCTAAAATCCCTGAAAACAACTGGAGACAGGCCACTATAATTCAAGTTCAACATTCGGAACTTGAAGGACAAAACAACAAGGGATGCTTTCGCTGCAGATATCAGTGCAAAATCGGAGACAATACGTAGCGTCACTGATGAAACCTGCGTGGAAGAACACTGGAACCCTCTGAAAGCGATATTTAAGGAAACATGCACAAATGTTCTTAGAAGAAAGAAGAGACACGACAAAGAATGGCACTCAGTGGACACCCACCTGGAAGATAATCGAGGAGAGGAGGATAATGAAAGATTAGATCATTCAATGCGAAGATGGAAAACAGAAAGAGCAGCTGGATTCAACGTAGACTGCACTGTATAAAGATAATAATAATAATGTATATTCTCATATAAACATATAAATTTACATGAAAATGCATGCCATTTTTACAGGCACGATCAAGTATGATATAATATCAAATCGTAGATTGACTTCAAGCTAATAATGTTTCAACTGTTAAATATTTGATATATATAAATGCACTCATTTTCTGAACCAGGCCGTATAGTTATTGAATTGTAAAATTGTCCTCCAGGTTACGCGGGGAAATCGACTTTGTTTCGTTTTCATCCCGTGGTTGTAGGCATACGATAACCAACCAATGATGAGGTAAGTACAACGTTTACAAGGGATTGAAAGCTGTTTTAGAAAAGTAAAAGTGATAAGGTGAATCAATAAAGTGCAATGAAATAGGTGAGTGCAAGTATCATTAGTAAATTCATTTATGAAGGAAACTCCCCAGGCTGACAACGTTCATTTGCAATGTATAATGATATCCATATAGTTCGTACTATCATGATGTTCACTTTTGGTTTTAATACATTTATCCTCATGCCGGTTCTTTTTATTTTATACCTTTTTGTGCATTTAGTGCACAACCGTACCCTTCAGAGAATAGGAATAGAATAAGTCGAATCGAACTCATAAAGAGCTGTAAAATGTTAGGTTTAATGGGATATAATGAGGATCAAGTAAAGACAGTATTATAAAATGAATGAGGTAAGACATTGTGAAGTGGTATTCAGAGATCCGACAATGGACAGCAAGTTCATTTATAAGATGCCCCATAAATCTGTGCAGAACCCGCGTGGTCGCATCTCAACAATGGGCTGGGCGAATTGCATACATTTAAAGGTAAAAGCATGATCCGTCTAGGCGTTCATTATTATCTTTTTCAAGATAAAGATCTAAGCCCACATAAAAATCAGAAATATCTCGAGCCTTTAATTTGTATATTGCTGTTCCTGCAGAATGGGGCGATTCACCTTAGTGACCCCCACCATATCTACTGATCAGCTAGTGCCACCCTCCCTCCTTAACTTGCCTTTGAATATCTTTCACAAGGAGGTTTAATTTACAGAACTCAGAGTTCTCTAACAGAGCATCTTTCACCTGTTTCATAGGAGTGAGAAATACAATCAAGCCATTTTGTGAGCTGGTAGTTGACACTACACCACAGGGTAGTGATGAAGTTGTAACCGAATCTGAGCCATTATCTAAAACAATTGTATTTCTTCGAAGACGTTTTCTAGTGATTTGGTCCATAATTTTAAGGATTTTATGACGATAAGCAGTAAATGAATATCAGAGCAAACACGTGCAAAAATGTCACCAATTTCGAACGTTGGGAATCTTCGAGTTCGTGTGACATCAGACATAAATCATCCACGTACGAAATCCAGATCTTCCAAGGTCTTCTTATCGGTAGTCCAGCCTATTCCTGACTGCTCGCCTGCGACGGTCTGACTGATAATCCAGTCCATCACAGTCAAGAATATCATCGGTGATTATACGCAACCAGCTTGTCTTACTCCTGTATTCACTTCATAGGCTTCGTTGAGTTTCCCGATGTGGATCACCCGACACGTAACATTGTTATATAGCCAGCTGGTGAATGAGGCTGACAAAAACTTGGGCTCTGCAGGGCGTAGTGCTGAAGTAGTTTCCAAATTACTTCTTGGTCAACGCTGCGCTGTCGAAAGCCTTTGTGAAGCCAGTGAATTCAAGGTGCAGGTTTGACTGCCATTCTATGCTTTGTTTAATGATGATGCGTAGAGTGGCAATTAGATCATCATGTGATCTGCCT